TCTTTATATGACCAAACCACCTTAAACGATCTTTAGTTATATTTTCTATTATAAGTACTACTTTAATATTTTCTTGTATACTATTATTATGTATCTTGTCATTTCTCGTGTGTCAATTCATCGATCTACCGCAATATTCTCACCTATCATTAGTAAAATATTAAAAGAAGTTATTTTCTTTCTGTTTAGACAAATAAATTGATAAAATTAAGTAAATAAGAACGTTAATCACACAAAATTCATTCCATTAAACTATTGCACATTGGTGATGAGGAAGAGATAATTTGTATCCTAAGGGTTAAAAATAACTAAAATGTTGCACTAAACCTTAGGATGTAGATTACCTAATCCTTACACAATAATAATCACTTTACCAAGAAGCACTGAACTAATGGAGGTTGTCAAATCAATTAAATAAGTCTGCATTGGTGTTAAGGAAGAGATAATCTGCATCCCAAGGACTAGATACAAAAGAAATATTGTTCTAAACCTCAGGATGCAGATTACCCTATCTTGACCCAATATTCTTACTAACAAAAAATGGAACCAATGTAAGTTATCAAGTTGATTAAACTGTTTTGAATTGGTTTACAAGAAAGACGTAATCTGCATCCTAAGGACTAGATACAATATCTGTATTGCACTAAACCTCAGGATGCAGATTACTTTTTTCTTGTCCAATGTTGACTATTTCAAGAAGTATTAAGGCAAATGGGGTGTAAGTGAGCAAATAATCTAAAGAAAGAAGTTTTGTAGTAGGTTGGATTGATAGAATTTGCTACGATGAACATTAGAATTTATAATGGCTAAGATCACTTACTCATGAATGCCTAAGAATCTACTTTATGACTGATCTCAATCTCATAAATTCCAAATTCTCTTTATGTCCAAAAAGGATGTTTACAAAGAAATGAAAAGTTGTCCTCATTCGCGTGTTTATATGTTTTTACCATTTTTATGCTTTGGCGCAAAATACTACTTTGGACAGCTCTTCATTGTCATAATCTTACAACTTGCTAGCTACATGGTGGTAGATACATCTTTGCTATTAATGTTAATTCTCCAATACAATGCAGAGTTCGAGTTAATAACATCCGTGTAAATAATCCTTTAATGTATTCAAATTAACAAACTTGTAGGAGCACATAGAGCTTAGTGCTTATACAAGTCACAACCTTATAATGAGTAAAATTAAAATATTAAAAATTCTAATTGTTGTTTATACTGAGCATCAAGCACAGGCTATACAATCATTAATTTACATCACATGTCACATTCAGTTCAGGCTCATCATTGAACTTCCTTTTTTTTTAACTCAGAATAGATACCACAAGATGAAGAACCAGCATAGCCACAAGAGCTACATCACCTTGCATGCCACTACTAATAATATTACCTAGCTTCCTGGAAACACTTCATTCCACCACGAATAGATACCAACAGATTTTCTTGATTGCCACAGCCAGTTTATAAATGCTATCTGTTATATTTATTAACTAAATCTAATACTTTCTGGAGCATGTTCTATACCAGAGGACCATTGAGTGTTATTCTTGAAGTTAATTTGAAAGGTATAGAATCACAATTTGCTGAGGACAAGTTCATAATAATGTGAGCATATAGGAGGACCAATTTGTTCCCCGTTTTACTGGTTTTTGGCAAAATAAAGCAAATTCCTGATCTTTAAGACTAAGCAGCCACTATCATGTATCAACCGTAGCCTGTGCACAATGCAGACTATGTTGCAAAGGGACACTGAAGGAATACTTACTTTCCTCATGCTGATGAATGGATATTTTTATTTGAACTCAAGCCTATGGGATGTTTTATCATGAACAATTGCTTTTCAAAAGTTATATTTTAGAAAAATATGGTAAAATTATTGTTTGACAAAATAAAATTTCAAAGTGATATTTTCAACTATACTTTATTAATAAATATTTATATTCAATATAATTTTTCAAGAAGCAAAAGGACAGACTCATCCGTTAATCATGTGACATTTACAATCTATCTTATTTATTGATTAAGCTCAAAACATTACTGAACAACATGAATGATGATGTAGTGGATGAGGATCTCTACATTTCTAGAAAAACGCTAAATTGTCCTTATTTATGAACCTGAATTTATTATAATTTTTATCATAGAATTAGATGTTTACTAAGGATTTAAACCTCTCCGCATTTCATTGAGAACTGCAGAAGTCATCATGGTGTTGTAGTTTGTTTCATAACAATCATAATTTTCAAATATTGTAAGTTTCTCTCCATTAAACGAAAATCAGATTACACAGTGACACAAAATCCCGAATTATGCATAATTTTGTAAAATTTGATGCTGGAATATTTCAGTGGAATATATGATCTCATTCATCAGTTTATGGTGTGATGGGTGTGGTGTGGACGGTGGACCAACACAACAGGGCATGGGTCATATGTCAGACATAATGAGGGTTGTTCAAAGTTGAAAGAAATGAATTCCTAACACTCGTCCTCTGGCATAAAACTTTTTGGACTTCACTTTTGGACTGCTTCAGGAAAAAGGAGAATATATATATATAACATAAAAGCATGGACATGTGAAATTTAGAAACTGAGTTATAAGAATTAATTATTCAGTTTGTAAATTTGGTTGGTCAGCCTAAACTTCCAATGATGTTAGGTTTAGCAAAAAGAATAAATTTTGCCCAAAATTTTAATTTTCATTAAAAAAAAATGTTCACATGCTATAGCCAATCATACCTCAAATAGAATTGATTGTAATTTGAGATTTTAAAAAAATTAAACACTTGAGATATATTTAAATAAACAACTTAATTGAATAATTATTCAATAAACTTTTAACGCATGAGAGCTTATTCTATAAATTCAAAGGACTCAAGCAGCTCATAACTGCTGCTAACTCAAAATTTTTTTGCAGGCAATAGAGTTTGAACATATAACCTTTTAAATAGATCAGTCTCTCACATATGACCATAACAGGGTCTTACACTAATTTGATAGATATAAATGAAGCAACTGAGATTTTGGGGAATACAAAGAAAATTTCAACAAAAAGAGATATAAATTAACTATTTTAATGGTATAAATAGTACAAAATAAAAAGAAAAAAAGAAATATTAGTGTAATTAAAACGAAAATTTTAAAATAGTTGATAATTTGAAGTTTTCTAAAGAAAAATAAACTACAGTGAATTCAGTTGTCTTGCGGAAAAAGAAAATAGACTTAATTAAGTTTTCTCTCCCTAAAAAGTTGTAATTTTATCATTTAATCTCTTATTTTTTAGTTATTCAAGTGAGTTCTTCACAATTTCTTTTTACCGATTAGTCTTTGTATGACTTTTGTTCACCATTTGGTCCCTCCAAATTCATGGTCATAAAAAAATTTATTCGGCTTTTCTAAATATCCCGAGTTGTTCATTTAGTCCTAAGAGTTATCATGAATTTTATATTTGATCATCCTAAAATAAGAAACTAAATAAAAATTCATGATATTTAAAAGAATAAAAAAAAAAGTTACAGAAGAGACTATCTTGTAGCAAAAAATATTTTATAAAAACTCTGAAAAAAAAATGTAAATGAGACCAAATGAAAATATCATAAATTTCCATGAGCCTAATTAAGCCAAGAAAATACATTAGAAGATTATCTCATTTTTTGGAACAACTACTCTGTTTTATTATATAAGAGTAAATAAGCACTGGGTATAAACTCCAAGAAATAATTTTTTTTTATTTTAAACTAAAATTAGTTTAACACTTATGACGGCTGTCTTATAATTTAAGTAATGACAGATTATTTTAAAGTTAGCAAATAACTATTACATAAATTTAATTTAAAAAGGAAAATGTTTACGTGTGCGAGAGATTGAATAAAAAAAACTAGTGTTATTTAAAAGGATCAAACAAAAAAAATTAACGAAAAAGACTATCTTGTAACAAAAACATGTTATGAAATCATCATTTGAAAAATACCAGATAAAAAAATGATGAATTTTTAAAAGCACCATAGAATTAATTAAGCCAATAAAATATAATTGAAGATTATTTTATTTTTAAGAATAATGACTATTTTATTATAAGAGTAAACAAGCACTGGGTACAAACTCAAAGAAGTAACTCATTTCTTATTTTAAACTAAAATTAGCTTATCACTTATAATGGCTTTCTTGTAATTTCAGTTTACTTTAAAGTTAGCAAATAATTGTTACATTAATTAAATTTAAAAGTTAAAATGTTTACGTGCGAGATACTTGTTTGGTTTCTGAAAGTGTTTTCTGTTTTCTTTATTTTTACTTTTAATTACAAAATTGTCACCTTATTTTCATTTTGTTTCTCGTTTTCTAAAATTTGTACATCAAACAGTAAAAACATATAAAATTGTTGTCAGTGTTTGCTATACAAATATTTGAAAACAGGAAACACTAAAAACAAAAAATGAAAACAGAAAATATTTCCCAAACAAAACAGCTCTTTATATATTCAGCAGATCAAGTTCGGATTTATATTTCTAAATGTACACGATGGAGTCTTTTGGTAAAGCTTACCTCATCAACAATATTTTCTTGTCAATACTCATTAGGTCCAATATACAAACTAAAATAGACACTGGTCAGAAAGGTAAGCGTTTATGCAGAGCACACGCCACTATTTGTCCGATGTAACAATCTTATACCACTCTGTTCAACACAGACTGCTTATAAACATTAGATGCATGTTTCACTGAATGAAATACCATCCATTTGTCCAATGTAACATTGTTTAACATGCTCTTTCCCAACACACAAGAGATTAGTTAAAAACATAAATGCATGCAAGTTTCACTAAATGAGATGAGAGCCAGTCCTCATTTAGTTAGTAAATCTTGCATGAATTTTTACAAGGTGTGTATTTAAATAAATGTGAAAAAGCCTACTACTAGCATTTCCATAATGAAAATATATAACTCACATTCTCAAACGAAAATTCACCCAGAACAACATATAGACCAAGATAATCAGACGTTAAAACAATGATGCTGAATATAGATTGAGGCTTCCAAGTCTCGTCTCGGAAAAAAAAAATGTCTTAATCGTGGAAAGTCCTATAACCAAAACTTCGACTTACATACAATTGACGTTACTCACTCTCGATTATAACTACTTATACACAGAAAAAATGTATCCATGGCTACGACAATCAAACTCGCTCCAAAATTTCCTATCAAAAGGGTAAATGAGTAATCTTATCTGATGAAAAATAGTGTATGCTAACAACTTGCAATGTTTGACAGAAGCATCTTCAATGTCTCATATGTCATAAAGACAATGCCCACGCTGGGAACAACCTTGTAGTACTCTGGCAAAATGCCTCTATACAAACCACGTGCCCTTTCATTCTGAATTATGTGCCTAAATGTCCCAAACAAACTGGTATTATAGACACGTGCTTGACCGCCTGCCCCCTCCAACTGCATCCGGCGCCTTACAAGATCCAAAGGAAATGTTGCTGCATGGTGCATGACACAATTAAACACACAAATGTAAAGTAAGAATGAATCATGCTAATGTGGAAATTGCCGTTTGATCTAAGATAACTAGTTTTCTATCATGTGACAATAACTGACTAAATTATATATTCTTTCAAAGAAAATACGTTCTTAACACTAGATAACTGATTCATTTTAAAGGATAACCATTACGCATTTCACATGAGGGCACTAGTACATCATGTAAGAAAAGCAGCTTTACACCAACTGATGCACCACATCAAGTCACCAAGCATGCAACTTTCAGCAACTCAAAAGTAAACACCAATCACACAATCATTATGAAAAGCTCAACAAATCTATTTAAGTATATCATTAAATTAACATGATTATCTCAGCAAACGAGACAGGTATCATATAGCTAGAACAGGACATGGAATCATTTATCAGGAAAAGGAAAAAGCGTTGAGAATTCAAATATTGACAGCAGAGATAGCAACAATCAATAAGCACCAACCTGTTGATGAGGCAATTCCGGAAAGACTGCCACAAGCAAGACTGACCATGACAGTAGAATCATCTGGCCTAAATTTTAAAGAAAAACACAACGAATATTTACAAACCATAGCATCAAGCATGAGGAGGTAACCTTCAGCATAAAGTAACCCTTTATTCAATGCAAATAGAGGTATTCACCTTCGGGACAGCCAAATAGAACGTAAGCTCTCATAAACAGAAAAACTTATTGCTAAATTGGGCCCAACACCCTGTTCAACACAAAGAATTAGTTATGTCAGTTGTAAAATATAGCAGGACTATCACCATAAAAAAGCAAATAGTAAAAACTAAACATGTATCATAGCATACCAACAATGTAGCTCCAAGTCCCTTGTAGAGACCCATGAACCCTTCTTCTCTGCAAATGGTGTTAAAAGCATGTGAGATGCCCATGTAGTATGTGGAACTTCTCTGCAGAAAAACACAGCATGTTAGTCTTAAGTCTCAGTTAAAATAAAATCACAGTTCACAACATGTCATTACAAATAGGATCAAATTCAATGAAACAGTAAATGCAAATTAAAACATAACCAAGCAGTTAATGCAAACAACTGAGCTCGGAAAAATCTCAACTTACAAAATATTGCTAATTACCTGTGCTGCAAGTCGTGTTCTCACTAAATCCAAAGGATATGTGGCAGTAGCAGCTGTTATGCCTGACAAACCACCACCTACGAAGTGCACAAAGGGGTGTGCACTTGCATTCCCTTTACAATTCTCCCCCATAAGAGAATACAATAGCTGCAACACAATAAAGAGAAAATGAAATTGGCTCATCCCTAAAGAAACATACACTACAACTTCTGAACCACATACATATTATGTATAGAGCATCAGAGGTTACATTCTTGTAGTGTTCATAGGCATAGAAGTTGACTGCAGAATAAGGGAGACGATGAGCTATGGTGACCAAATTGCCTTTCCAAAATGCTCTAAAACCTTCTTCATTGACAATTCGCGATGCCTCACACCAAATGCTAGGCTTACTCAATGCTGCCACATCAAAATGCATACCTTGCACCTGACAAAGCCATGCAAAATAGTCAGATAAAAAAATCATTGAAAAAACAGTGTTCGAATCAACAAGGAAAATAATGGATATATACTCAAATCTTTTTCATAAGATCATTTAACTTACATTAATGCATTCTCAGAACATTTAATAAGAGAATTTATACATGAGCAATCCTTGTTACAAGCAGAACAATAATTACTTATTACTCAGCTAATTCAATTTGACTTTGAACAAGAGAATTTTGCACGAGATCAGACGCCACCACTGCACCAAAAGTAAACACTGCCTTCTAAACTAGCATAATAAAGTTTCAGCACATTAAACCTACAATTTGGATTTGTTGCTTTTAAAAATGCCCTTTCCCAATTTTCCAGAGGTATCTGTTACATCTAATAAACATTTTCCTTAAAAATATATATAAACTAATAATTAACATGTTATAATTCGTTTTCTAACAAAAACAAAACAGAAATTGAAATTAAGCTCACGCAGTTTTGCTTCAGCCGCTGAAACCAAAACCCATTACACCATTTAAACCAAAACCTCAAAATCCATATCCGTGACAACAACTTCCGCAGACAAAATTCAAACAAAATCACTATAATTATTATAAAGAAAAAAACAGAACCTGAAAGAGAATAGTGAGGCGCGAAAGTGGAGCAGTGCAAGTCTTGGCAAAAGCACCGGCTAAGCCACCAGCAAGAAGCTGAGACATCGTTCCAATCTGCGATTGCTGATTCTTCTGCTGCAACAATTTCACGCTATTTCCATGCCCACTTTCAACCACCATCCCCACGCGCGCTTCCATACCCACCCCTCAAAATAATTCAATTTTTTAAATAATATAATAAAATAATTATATAAACTCCCTTCTTTTTTTCCTCGGATTAGTTGAAGAGGATTGATCCTCGGAAACCTCGAACTGCGGGTTCCCAGAAGATGATGGGATTGGTTACATGGGCGCTGGAAACACAGCGTGAAAATGAAGAAAAATAAACTCTTGTTCTGAGAGAGAAGGTGAAGCCTTGAATGAAGGAACCAAAAAGGAAAAAGTAAAATGCAAAAAAGGGTTTAAGTGTGAACGAGAATTAGGGTTTTGTGGAGTTGAGAGTACTGGACGGTGTTGTGTGTTGTTCCACGAAAAGCTTCTTTCAATTCAACTGACTGGTAGATATTTTAAAATATAAACATTTTCTTTGTTAATATATAACGTGAATCTACCTTACCAAGCCTTCATCCATCAACTACTTTTTTACGTGTACTAAGCCAAATTTTAAAATAGAATAATTTTAACTATGACACGCTAAAAAGTTTAAAAATTAATTTAATGATAAAAATTATAACAAATAATAGTAAAGTAAGTATAATTTATATATATTTTATCGTAAAGTTAAATATGTTATAAAATTTTTTTAAAATAAAAATTATTAAATAATTTTTATTTTTAATATAATAAATATATATATTGTGTTTAATATTTATTTTATCAAATAATTATAAAAAATATTAAGAAGATATAATACAATTCTTTGAAATGATATAAGTGTAAATAACTTTAAATTTTTTTATTTTTATAAATTCAAAACTTAAAAATTCTTTATTTATTTATTAATAATGTGATACATATTTAATTGTGTTATATTATTTAACACTCTAGAATTAATTTTCTCAATTGAATGAAAATTAAAAGGTCAAACAAACAATAACTAACTAATCATTTTAAGAAATCATTTTAAGAAAGCATGTCTCATAAGTATTTTAAAAAGAGACAAAATAAGATTGAAGATATAAGAACTTTACAATCGTGAGACTCATGATGAGCCTAAGTTAAAAAGGAAATCAACATATTTATTGGTTTCTTTAAAAATATGGTAGAAACTAGTAATTCTACAAGATTAAATTAATTCTCTAATTTCACAAACTAACCATTCAAGTTAATGACTTTTATTTGTAATTCATTTTTCCTATGATTCTTTCATTCTTGAAAGCTTGAACTCAACGGAGATCTACCTATAATTCAACTATAATGGAAGAGTAAGAGGCCTAAATTACTAATAAAACCTATTAAAAATCTCCTTGAGAGTTATTGATCAAACCACCATATGTAGCTTTCTTCATTTTCAAGTTGAAAGAATCATTAACATTTAACTTAAGTTTAGTTTTAGAAGAAGGCCTCCAACCAATAATCTTTTTTCTTTCTAAACATTTGTGAATAGGGTTTGTAGAAAGAGTAAAATCAAAAGTAATATAATTCACATAACTACAAATAAGAAAAGAGAAAAAGATTTACCATCAACAACTTTGTTATTAAAAGTCTAAGCATTTTTATTATTTCATAACATTTAGAAGACTATTCTAAAAAGGATATTTTAATTATTTACACCATTAAATTAACTCTTCTTTAGAATTAACATAAGTCATTTGCTCAACTAATGACTAAAAAAAACAATCTCTAAAATAGATTCATCAGTTAAATTAAATTATATGCAAGACACAAATCATGATTAAAGAACCCTTTTTCTTCTTTTCCTCGTTAGTTAGTAACTCAACATAGGCACCTTTCTAGAGGAAAGTCCTATATTTTTTAGACTTTAGCCAATTTCAAATTAATTTAAATATAGAACTAAAATATTTATTTTGAATATCACAATTCATAAGCAAATTAAGAGCAAAATTTCCATTAAGAGCAAGGAACCAACTAGTTACGTTAGCTTCAACCTTAAATTTCGAGAGAATAATAGTGAGACTAATCAAATTAGCAGGAATATTAACATTAATTATTCAACAAGAATAAAAATATAAGGCATCCAAAATCTTTCCAAAATTAACTTTAAGACCAACTTCAATATCCAAAACAACCCTTTAAATACATTTCCAAACAATTGAATAGTTTTGAGATTTTTTTTATTGTCATTGAAGTTATTAACCCCAGTAATATATTTATCTTTTTAGAACTTAGACTCGCAAAGATTAAGCGTTATTTAAGAATCTACAACCTAATTTAAGCATATAAGCTCTATTAACTTGTTGTAGATATTTAAATCCCTAGTCTTTTAGTTAATTAAATATTTTTTCAAATTTTATCTAATAAGCCAAAATACATAACTTTTATAGACCTAGAAAGAAAATTAGAGATCCTAAATAAAAGTTTAAATTATTATAAAATTTACTGGTCTCTTGATAAGAAGATGCTTAGTTTTAAAATTCATATTGCTAGAAAAATAGATAATATATTTATCTTTATTAATTTTTGGGTCAAAGGCCACACAAAAAAGATTGTAAAATAGATTAAACTAGTTAGATTTAGAAAGAAAAAAGCCCACCTATTAAAATAATATTGTTAGCATAAAATAAATAAGATAATTTAAATCCCTTCTTACCAAAGTCTAAATTGGACAATTTCTTCTGAAGAAGCCACTTTAGAAATTAAAAGTAATTAATATTATTTAGATTAATAAAAGCACGAATTTCAAAAATATGAGAATGCAAAGTCTTTCATTAGAACTTAAAAAATATGACATAAATACTAAGAAATTTACCCATGTTAAAAAGGGTAGCCTTAATTTATTTTTTTTTATAAAGAAACTTCTCTATTTATATTATCCACGTTAGCATCATTATTCTTTTGATAAGAAATAGGGTCATCTAGGATAATTCTAATAGAATTAGGTTCTATGAGCAAAATCTTAAAATATTGATAAATAATTTCTTTAGGTTAATGGGATTCATAGATCATCTTATTTTTGCATTCCTTCAAAAATTTTAAACTATTTTTCTGCTTACGGATAATAGTCTTTTAATGAAAGAAATAATTATTTTTGTTGAATCCATTTATACTTTGATTGATAAAATCAATAAGTTTCTTTTTGATACAAAATGTTTTCATACTCTTGTCACAATTTTTTAATTACGTTGTGCTGAAATTGGTTTTCTTCCATGCCTATTTTTCTTTGAATTCCTTCAATTCTAATAAAAAAAATTAATGATTAAACATATTACCAAAGATCTATTTATTTCAAATACTTATATTTGATTTAAATTTTTTTAAATTATCATTTTAATTATTGCTAAGAGACCAATTATTCTTAACTTGATTAGAAAAATTCAAAGTGAATGGTACATGGAATTAAGAACTAAAAATATTTGTTAAGTCTTATTAATACCACCTAAGAACTAAAAATATTTGTTATGTCTATTTAATAAGAATGAATACCACCTAACTTCTAGCTACAAAGCATTGTGATCAAATTTAGCTACATAAATGAATTAGAGTGATTTTGAAATCTTTATTTAATCATTATTCACCATAAATCTATTTTTAAGAGAACCTCTTTATCAAGTAAAAATGTACACCTATATAATCTATGTTAGAAAGCCTATATGTTTCTAAGAAATAGGAAAACTTCATTATTAACTTATAGTCTACTTATTTTTTCGTAATCATATAAAATAGAGTTAAAATCTTTAACTACACACCAAAGGACATTTAAATTAGTGCTTAAAAGGTTTAATTCCTCTAAAAAAATTAATCTTAAAATAATCCTGAAAAGTAATGTATACCGATAAAATCTAAGAATTGATTTGATTTATTACAATATATATAGACAAAATTCAATCGCCTACCTCATAGTATGACAAAATTCAGTCTCGTGCTTGACAATTATCTTGCCATGGCAGTCGACAACGAACGCCTTCATATTTGCATCGACCTCTTCCTTATGTTGCTGCTCTCTTGCAAAGGTATTGGCTAGCTTCAAACCCTTAACTTTTTCAGAATTCTCAGTAGCCCAAGCCCAATCCTCAGCAGCTCGAGTCTGATCTTCCATTATCTTGAGGTGCTCCTTCAGTTGGGTTACCTCAACCTCCAGTGAATGGCAGGTTTCAACCAAATTAAACTGAATCACTATGGCCCGAGTTTGGAGCTCGCAGTGCTAAGCCCACTTGGACCTTTTATCCTGGCCATCCAAGAGGGTCCTCCCGGCTTTTGACACTAAGTCGGGAGATACTAGCCTTGTAGTCCAAACACCATTTCTAAAGAATTTATTCGTCATTACCATCAGAGGAATGACAAACTCAGCCAAAGATCTGCTCGGCCTAGAGGAAGCACGTTGAGAAGTGTCGACACGGGCATGCTTCCTTTTACGTTCAGCTTCCTTCCCCTTATCCTTATCTTTTCTTTTATTTTGGAGACCTTTGGAAATTGGTCTATTTGAGGTTAACGGTGTTGTTCAGCCGAAGTCTCCTTCAGAGCTTAGCACCTTAATGCTTGTCTAGTAGGACATATTGACTCCTTTTTGTGTCATTATACCTACACCGAAAATAAGAAGTCAAATCAATATAACATGACCAACAAAACCATACCCTCTAAATCTAAGAGGGGCCTAGGAGATTTCAGTAAAAGAATAAGTGCTCGGGCGAGAAGCTCTCAGGGAAGAATTTTTAAATAATCCAACGTCGACAACACCTTCCGGGTCAAGATGTCCTCTGGATATACGTTATATCGACGAGGGACTCAAGTCCAGTGAGAGGGGAAGAAGGGTTTATCTTCATTATCATAAAAAAAAAAATTTGTCGGCTACAGGGTCCACCTCCACCTTAAAGTACTTAGTCTTGAAACCCTTAAAGGAAGATGTATAGGATTTGAATAGTGGCAATTCAGCTTGCCTTATTAAGGAAACTTACCTTACTTTATCTGAAGGACGGGTACAAAATAAAAAATAAAAAAAAAACACCTACACTAAGCTCTATATAATGATATTTATACAAAGTCCGTAAGGCTTACATTGCCGCCCACCCATTCGAGTGCAACTGGGTCGATGCTACATTCAACACCTATAGCACTCCCATCTGAAATTCATCAAATGGGAGCACTACTCCTAGTCTCCTAAACATACACTCGTATCCAAAGATGGTGCTGGTTGTTCTAGCACCTTTTCCTAAAAATACATGTTCAGGGTTTACCGACTTATCCCCTCGACAAACGTTGATGTTTATTAGGTAAGGATCTAAATCGTCCCACAAAGCTATCCCATACAAATCTATAAAGTT